AGTACAGTTTAGATAAGTTTTAATATGAATCTCTTCCAAATTTGGAAAAATATCCATTTTTTCTCGAGACATCTCAATATGCATTGGAATTTATTAAATTAGTTATTAGCCATGGTTTACGAGACTGCCATATTGAACATATGTTTTGAAGTGACACAAAGAATCAGTATTTTTGTTTTACGGATTACTATTTTGACTATCTCATGTACCACTATAGTTTTAATCTTCAGTAAATTATAGAATAGAAAAAATACTGTTAATTGAAAATGTCAATTTGACGAAACTTTTGGACAATATTTGTGTTTTTAGTGTTTACTTGTGTGTAACAAGTGCTTTGTTAACACAAACTTGCCTATCATAAGTATGATACTCTTGACAGACTCCAATTATTCGGCTATGATCGAATTTGGAATACCAACAGATACCAACAACTAATGGGTCATACACCCATTAGTATACAAATAATGGCATATGCTGATGATATCGTGATTATTGGAAGAACCCGAAATGAAGTAGTTTCAGATTTCACACGTATCAAAAACGTCGCAAAAAAAATCGGACTTCAGATTATAATTCAGAAAACTAAATATATGCCGGCTATATTAAGAATGTGAGAAAATAACTTGGTGCAACACAAAACTATAGCAACGGTGGAAGAATTCTTCTACTTAGGGTTACTGCAAAAACAAAGACGAGGTGCAGGACGATTTAAAAGTGATTGGTGTAAGGGGGTGGAGAAGGCACTCGACAGAGAGGGATGGAAGAATGTTTTGAGGTAGACCAGGACTCACGAGGGGCTGTAGCGTTAACTGATGAACGACGCATCCGTGGATGAAAATCCTCTGGTACGCTGATGACGATTATGACTTTTGGTACCCCTTTGGTGTGTTGACTCCCAGAGTATAGTGACTCTATCGCTCGAATTGTGGATTCCGGTCCTTCTCTGTCTTGAGTTATTAGGAAAGCTTGACGTAGATCATTTCTAATTCATACTTACAAGAAACCAGACATTTTATACTGTCCTACTATTATAAAAAAAATCGTGAGGCGATAGAAATCCGAACGCAGCCCGAGAATGCAAACAGAAAAACAGGTCACTATAAGTCGTAACAATTTTTTAGGAATTGTAGTTTTACTTCTGGATAATCCATAGAAGATGCCCACATATCATATTCCCACTAATCATAGAAACGGATTATGGCAATACTGTTCCCAAAGTATGCTATTTTCTTGTTCCTGAGAAAATAGCAAACGCAACCATGATTCGCAAAAAAGAGAAACCCATACAAACGTTAAATCCTACGGGATTCAAAGTGAAGTTAAATGACGAAGAATTCTGGAGTTTGGCAGAAGTTGATCATAGACCAGTATAACTTCATTTTTCTTGCGTGTTCCTAGACTCTTGTCTAGGTGTAGGTCTTTTGGGCGTATGATACTCCTAGAGTAGTAGTCCTGTATACACATGGATGAGGTGCCGCTACAGGTGCTAGTCTACTTTGTCAGTTTCTCTCTGCTTGCCTGCAGAAGAATTGAATAGAATGTGTATAGTAGTTACCGTTCGGAGGATACTTGTAATGACTGCTCAGATGAGATTTATATATTTATATATAGAAGTTGTTGACCTGACTTTCCTTCGTCTTTCCTATGGTGTCCATTGCAATACTTTTTGTTATTCTGTTGTCACCCATTCTTTGGACGTGTTCATATCAGTGTAGTTGTCATGTCCTTCGTTATTCTGTGTTTAACGCTCATAATATCTTAGATTCTTCCACATCTTACTCTGCCAATTTTTTTTTTCTCTACGAATTTGTGTTCCAACCGAACTGGTTGCGTTTCTTTTAATCGCATATTTTTATACATTGCTTTACATTCGCTGACTTACTATAATTCCTTCGCTTAAACGCTATCATCATATTAACGTTTACAGGTACTCATTATATTTTCCCGGTAGTCGCTGTACATTCTAAATTAATTTATGGTTGTGGATAAAATACAGTATATGTATTTATTTTATTTCAATAATACTGCTTATTACACGATTTTAAATACCTTTACAGATTATCATTATATATACATCATATTATCATTATATATCAAACATTTGTTTGTGTTATGCTAATTGTTATACGATTTTTCTAATATAGAATATATTAACGTTTTTTACCTGAGACTCGAAATACAAAACCAACCTAAAAACGTAATATAGTAAGCAACTCACAATACAATCTCTATTCTGTAATTTTCATAAAAATGTTAGGCATGTAGCTGAGTATAGTAATGCACGTTCATTGGAAACCTATGTATAGTAGTGATCGTTCAGATCAGATTTATGTTGAGCAGTGATCAATCAGATGATATCTATATCAAGTAAGATACGTTTTATGATGTAGCCATACTACCTCTTTGTAAAGAGCAGGTGTATGATTGGAGGGAGATCCATATATAGCAGTGATAAATTATAGGATTTTAGTGTGTAGAGGTCAGAACCTTGTCGAATTATGATCATTCGTATATTGTAACGATCGGTCAGAGAAGATTATATAGTGGATGATGTTGGTTTTGTCATATTTTAAGAATAGTATACGTTCCTATTCGTTTTATTTCCAGCGATAGCCGCTGCTGTACGTTATACATTATCCATTTCAATGGCATATCATATGAATTGTTTCGAGAAAGAGAGAGAGAGAGAGAGAGAGAGAGAGAGAGAGAGAGAGAGAGAGAAAGAATTGTTTTGACTAGAACCATGTATGCTGTATAGAATGCAGCCTTGTCTGAAGTGGCAGATAACATTTTTGGCAAATAACAAAGGACTGTGAAAGCCGATTTAACAAACAAATAGAAGAATAAATGCGACAGCCGTAAAGACGAAGAATTGTTTTGACTTTATAGCTACATCCTGTATTATATTATAAGAAGTGACAGACGGAAAGAAGACGAACAGTGATACGTCATAGTGTCCTTTAGCACGCCAGTCGTACACTTGACAGCGGGCACCAGACACCTGACAACAAACACCATACGCCAGACACCCGACACCACGAGGGTCACCATTGGTCGAGAGGTGTGGCCTCGAGACACGATGATATCATCGTGTCTCGAGGCGACGTCATCGCACGTTCCGACGCCACGTGTGGCGTAATTGTTCAAAGTCTAAAATGTCTAAGTCGCTACTGCGCAGATTCCAGAGATGAGACATGAAGGCTCACAACAAGTGACACTCGACAAATGTAAAAGAAGAAGAATTGACAGACACAAAATAACAAAGAATTGACAGACGAAAAAGAAGAATTGCCAGATCAAAAAGAAGAAATGACAGACAAAAAGGAAGAAGAGTGCCAACTTCAGATTGATTAACAAAAAAGAAGAAGACTTGACAGTTTCCAGCTATCAGTCTCCATATTGTGACGGCACATGTCAAAATTTTCCCACGCTGTCAAAATTTTCCCAAGCCCAAGTGGCCTATACTGTGCTTACTGCACATTGAATAATTTGTTATATGATCCTCGCTGCAATTCACTTCACTTTTGTCCCCTTCCATTTCGATGAGGACAGTACCTGATACTTAGTATTAGCCATACATTGGCATCATAAATCGTGTACTTTTGAAACCGTTCCTAAATCTATGAACGAGTGCTTGGCAGCCGTGCAACTGCATTCTACGTCGTGGTCTAACATACGAGTCCCATTTGACTGTTATGTTTTGTAGTTTTGTTATGTTCCTTACTTCTTTGATGTTTTGTTGCCTGAGCTCCTGGATGAGGTATGAATGGCTTATTTTTTCTTGATACTTTGGTCGTCGTATCATGTTCTTCAAGTTCATATCGTCTATATCTAATTCTGGAGCTACTTTCACAACTATCATCTTGGTTGTCGCTTAGTTCCTAGCATATGTATAGTATTAGTTTTTTGCTTAATTCACTCGCTCTTGTGCTTCTAAAAGTCTTGGAATGTGTTTGTAAATATCCTTGTTCCCATCCTTTCGGCTGGAGCAGCTTGAAAATTAGTATGATCTAATAGTTTTAATATTTTTAATCGATCCGCAAACATTGCAATTTGGCCTGTAAATACTAGAGATTTTTTTTCGGGAGATCCTGTTACTCTATTTTTCTTTCTCCATTCGTTAAGGTTGGTAACGCGTTATCCAACCTTCTTTAATAAAGCATCATTGCCATTCAAAATGTATTTGAAACATTCCGTACACATGAAACGGTTGTGATTATAGAATAATTTGCAACCAAAATAAATGCATCATTAGTATAATATAATATAATAAACGTAAATTTGTACATCTAGAAGGAATTTTTAGTAATACATGTATATTTATACATTTTGATGACCGTGTACCTATGTTTCTCCCTAAAATAATTTTTTACAATTTCCTACGGAACTCCATTCATGCAACTCTCCAGTAGTTTATTTTCGCACAAAATAATAATAATAATAAAATCTCGAACCAGCACTGTGGATGTAAAAATGCAACCGATGTGAATTCTAATAACTGGTGTGTTATTTTCACTTAATATTCTGTTATGTCTATTCTGTCTATTCAGCTCGGAGGAGCACTGTGCCTATGGTCCTTCGAGATGAAGAGTAGAAAGATACATTTTGAAACTAACATTCTTTAAGATTAATTTTCCTAGACATATCATATTATATTAATTATATAAAATACACAAGGTTTTGACAAATGATAACAGTACCGTATATTTAATATGTTGTAACGATTTAATTTAAAAATTAAAATAAATGATCTTAAATGAATAGTATAGCAAAAAATATACTTGTACTTTAAATTGAGTCAATAACTATTGGGGCAGATCGGGAAGATCAGGAGATTACGTACTTGCTATTCACCCAGCATCATCGCCCTTAACTTTCCACAATTCGCATTTCTATACTAATTCCTAGAAGAGTATACCATGCACTATATTAATTTTTGTTAATAAATTCAAACAAAAGCGTTCGTTACTGCTTAGTTTTATTAATAGAAGTACCTTTACCTCTTAATAAATACTGAATGGCAATGTGAATGAAGCAAACGATTATAGCTCCAAAACCAAAATATCGGAATGTTAGAGGGCCACCGAAGTGTTGGTAACAGTATCCTCCTAAGTAACTTCCGGCCGAAACGCCGATGCCTTCGAATACGGCTCCAACCAAACCCTAAAACATTAAAGTAGATTCATTGATGACGGTAAAAGTAAACTATATATTGTTATAAAAGTAGTAAATATAAGGACCGGTCAAAAATTTGACGACTAATACAAACTTTAAAGAACTGTATAGGCATAAATAACACTGACGATCTTTTGCATGCCGCTAAAGACAAACGTCTGGCCTTAAGATAATCCGCCAACGAATAGGTGCAAGGCACTATAAGAAGAAGAACAAACTTTCAATCATTCAACATTATTTCCCTCAAAGTAGTCGCCTTACCAATATACTCGATTGAAAGAGTCCTAAAACTTAACGTTCAGCTCTTGAGTGTATATTAAAATTAAGCGACAATATTAACTTCATATTTATTATATCTGAATATTAACTTTCTAAAAACTTTAAAAAGCATTGTAAGCTTTCTTTGCCATTAGTCCAGGTTGTGAGGCCAATCCCGTAGAAAAAATGTTGTTGATTAGATTTCGTTGTGGATTCTTGTTCAAAAATGTTTTCATTAAACAAATCCGAAGAATGTCGGGCACTTGTTTAAACAATTTTTTTAAACAAATTCAAAAAAAATCTCTTTTTTTGGGCCATTTTAAACTTCATAAGAAGTTGGAAATAGTGACTTTTTTTAATTGTTAGAATAGTAAATAAGGACTTTTGAGATAAACATTCATTCTCTGCGATTGTTATTATGTGTTGTTCGTACATTTGTGAGGTAAGAATATCAAAGTATCAAGCTATTTACTCTCAATGTTCTTGTTTTAGGGTTATATTATTGTTCGTTTAAAACTTTGATTATTTTTTACTGTATTTTAAGGTATTTTGCTGTTGCTGTTATCAAGAGTATTTCAAAATTAGTCAATAAATCATTGAATTTATTTACGAAGTTGAAAAATTATTAAAACGTTTTATTCTTTTTTATGTGCTAGTGATTTTATTCCGTAAAAGACCAAATATATTCGTTTTCTCGTAGTTTAAGTAGTTAATAGTAGTTTTCTTGTCATTACTGAAAAAATCAGTAATACTGGATATCTTCAACACACATGTTTACTAGCCAGTATATGCCAAGATCTAAAAAATAGTATTACAACACTCAAAACATTATTTTTAAATACTCACTATGGCAATTTGATAGGAAGGATTCCACAGAATGTTACAACTAAAACTAATTATTCACTACTTAAACTACGAGAAAACGAATATCTTTAGTCTTTTACAGGATAAAATCAGTGGCAATAAAAAAAGAATAAAATATTAACCCTGGAAGTGCAGTGTGCAGTTAAATGGTGTTACAATTTTGAGGTGGTTTTTGTTATTTGCTAGTATGGCAGATTTTGAGAGAAAATATCAGCGTCAACTGACAACAATATAATTAGAATGGAAAGCTGAAAGCCTGTGGGCGAATGAAGATGAACCGGAGAGCATCGAAGATGATTTTGGAGACTCATCAGATGAAGACGATGATTATATACCTGAACATCAGTCTGACACTAATAACGAACAACAAAGTGACGATGATAATGAAGAAGAACAAACAGAACCCAATACCTCGCAAAGAAATGTCGTCAGTATACTGGGAAATAATGGTCATCGTAGGACCACACAGGCACCGGCACGACAAGGACGCCCAAGAAGGAATAACATCATTTTACATTTGCCTGGTCTAAAAAATGAAGTAAGAAATGTTAGTAGTCCTGTTGAAGCTTGGAATTTACTATTGTCTCAAGAGATTGTAGACATTGTTATGCTGAATACAAATAAAGAAATTCTTAGGAAGTGTCAGAGTGGCTTGCCGCAGAGTTACAAAAAATTAACCAACAACAACAGAAGTCAAAGCATTTATTGGTTTGCTGTATCTCACTGGTGCATTACTAGTCTCAAATTGTAATTTAGATGAGCTTTGGTCAATAAAATATGGCAATGGGCTATTTCGGGCAACCATGCCCCAACAAAGATTTCAGTTTTTAGCTCTTTGCTTGAGATTCGACAACAAAACAGACACAAATGCTAGAAAATTGGTTGACAAGTTTACCCATATTCGCCAAATATGGGACATTTTTATAACTCACTGCAAGCTACATATACTACACGCCCTATGAGAACTGTACAATTGATGAGCAACTCGTGAGTTTTCGTGGAAAATGTCCATTCCGAATTTATATGGTCAGCAAACCTTATAAATATGGAATGAAAGTAATGATGATAAATGATTCGAAGACATTTTATATGCTGAATGCCATTCCATACGTTGGAAAAGTTGATGTTGAGAATAATAAGTCAGTTCCTACATATTATGCCAGAAAACTTTTCGAACCATTAACATAACAATGGATTACTGGTTCCTGTCAATACATCTAAGTGAACAAATGTTGGAACAGTATCAGCTAACAATCCTTGGAACGTTGCGAAAAAATAAACGGGAAATACCTCCGAAGCTAACACAAAAAAAGAGGTACGCACATCCTTGCTTTCGACAGAAACAAAACGCTAGTTTCGTACACTCCAAAGGAAAATAAAGTGGTACTACTTTTATCAATTTTATCTACTTTAAAAAAATCATAATGGCACCAAAAATATGAGTTCAGCAAAAAATGGGCAACTGAAAAATAAAATCGACCTGTCTGAGCTTGCCCAATGGCTAAATTCCAACTTTTACGTACTCACTGTATGTGTCTGTGTGAAATACTCACCTGCATGGTGGCTTCCGTTCCTGAAGGCGCTACTATACTAGCATACGACGCCATACAGGCGAAAAACAGTCCAAATGTAAGCCCGTTTGATATTTCAATAGGCAAGAAATACCATGGATTGGGTATCACAGAATAAAGCAGAAATCGAATGCCTACAGCAAAAAGCACCAACGACATCGTATTCACATGGCCCAGTTTCTTGATAATAATTCCAGAAAAGAAGAAAAACGGCGCTTCTCCCAGAACGGTTTGGACTCCTTGAATCAAGCCTTCTAAGGTCTTTACGTAAACCATTCCTGTACAGCCTTGGTTCTTGGCCAAATCTTCGACGAGCCAAAATTGGAATTGCCACATCAAGCCTGTACATATGCCAACACTTATACACCACAATATGAAAACTATTATACGGATGTTAAATAAGAGTAATGCAACGTCTCGGCAAATATTAGTGGACACCTTCTTTTGAGAATACTGAAAAATACAAAAGATAAATAAATAAACAATAATAATAAATAAATATACATTGTAAAAATGTGAAAATATTTTTCTTTTCATCTTTTTACAAACATTTTACAGCGTTTTCCAGTTCATCCCAGACATGTTCATGAGCAAATGTTTGAGCCAGATCTGCTTGATAATTCATTATTAAAATTTTAACTACATCATATCATTACATCCGATGGTAGACTCACATTTATAATCAAACTGATTTTATGCAATATAACCACATATTTAGGCATGTGATCAAAGAATCAAAAACTCATCCAGTAGCATATGTGTCTTCTAACGAGTTATGTATAAAACTAAAGAAAGACCTGTAATGTTGTGAACGCCACGTTTGTTATTTTTCTTCAAATAATTGATTTATTCGAATATCTGTTGATTTTATAAATTAGTTAACTTTTTGTTCTATTTTAGTATTTTTCTTCTAAAAATAATTGGCGCTCAACTCTTTGTATACTTCCCGTATTCTACTCCAGACTACATATCTACGCCATAGACAAATATGAAATATTTATGGTGTGAAAAAATCCTTTTTTATCAGGACAATGCACAGTGTCATTTTGACAATGGCTAAAATCCATTAATTAAGGTGTGAAATATTGGAGCATCCACTGTATTTACCAGATTTGGCCCCTAGCAACCTCCATCTGTTCCAATAACTAAATGCATGTAAGCGTTTTTCATCAAATCATGCTGTCGTAACAGCTGTGGAAGCGTATTTTACAGCCCTTTCAGATTATCACTTTGCTACAACTTTGAAAAAACAACACGACTTGTTATTAAATAAAAAGAAGAATATATTGTTCTATCATTGATCTCTATGTTTGAACAGGAAAAAATATATATATTTTTACTTGTCGAAAATATTAACACCTTTTCTATTTGACAAAAGTTACTTACACTGATTTTTATCGATGTAAAAAAGTCCAAAACAATAAATATGGCTGCCATGTAAAAAGCTGCAGTGTAATCTTTTTGGCCTTTTCCTCGACTCGACAAGTCAATGACTATTCCAACGATTGCTGCAATAACTCCCCAACCAAGAGATCCCCATAATCGTTGATAACCGTAATGACTAGGTTTGTCGCCTGAAAAATAAATATGTAAAATTAAGATTTCTATGTCAATTTCTCGATATCTTTTATCTAAAGGTGTCGCATGCATCTGCTGCATCGATTGCATATGATAGCAGTGCTCTGCAGCGACTGCATGCGTTTAATTCATAAAAACGTAAAAAATTGAACATTTGTAGGATATGAACAAGTATTCTGTGAAAAGAAATTAATGTTTTTGTTCATAGTTTAAAATTTTGATTTTATATTTTTTTTAGCTAATAACGATACGCTCATAGATCCAATTTATGAAAGACCAGAGCTTTACAATCCAGCACATAATGATTTTAGGGATGTAAACAAGGATACCGTGTGAGAAATAATAGCAGTCAAGTTTAAGGTGACAGCAAGTTTTTCTTCTGGTGTAATTACTCTTTTCACCATTTTTGTAGATTTTATTTTGTCTTCCTTAATAGATGGCATTGTAAGTGAAATGATAAAACTAGGAGGCGAATGCGTCATAAAGGCTTTAAAAACCCTTTATAATGCCTGCCTCTTTGAAGGAAATACGCCAGAAAAATGGAATAATGCCATTATGATATTACATAAAAAAGGAGATGTAACAGAAATTGGCAACTACAGACCTATCAACTTATTATCTCATTTATATAAACTCTTTATGAGAATAATTACTAACAGACTGGGACCTAAGCTAGATTTTCATCAACCTCTAGAGCAGGCCGGATTTAGGAGTGGCTTTGGAACAAATGACCACCTACAAGTAATAAAATCCTTGATAGAGAAAGTTATAGAATACAACAAGCCATCGATATTAATATTTGTAGACTTTGAGAAAGCATTTGACTCAGTCCAGCATAGCTCCATGTTAAGAGCTCTTACAGAGTGCAGTATTGACCATAGGTACACAACTCTTCTTCGAAATATATATATGATAGCGCAACAGCTGCTGTAAAAATGTACTATGGTGACACAGACACATTTCCCTTGGGAAAATATTGGATTAAATATAAATGGGGAATTTTTGAACAACTTGAGGTTTGCAGACGACATAGTCCTTATTGCAGATCAGGTAGATCATGCATGCCAACTTCTTCAAGACCTTCAGAGCTCTTGTGCACGAGTTGGCCTTAAAATTAATTTTTCCAAAACACAATACATGACCAACCTGGTACTGGCAAAAAACATTTCCACTAATGGCACGCAAATTGAACAAGTGTATTATTATAAGTATCTGGGCCACGAGATTAAATTGGGAAGAGACAATCAAACAACAGAGTTAAAAAGGAGAATAGGACTGGCATGGGCAGCTTACGGAAAACTGAGGGAAGTCTTCAAATCAGCTATTCCCGTGTGCTTGAAGAGAAAAGTTTTTGATCAGTGTGTACTTCCAGTTCTGACATATGGAGCAGAAACATTGACACTTACCAGAAAAGTAATTAATAAGATACAAGTGGCACAGAGAGCGATGGAGAGGTCAATGTTGGGCGTATCACTCAGGGACAGAGTTTCGAGTCAGATAGTAAGGAGAAAAACTGGTGTGACGGACGCAGTTGAAATAATTACAACCCTGAAATGGAACTGGGCAGGACATGTTGCTAGGGTAAGAGATGGAAGATGGACAAAGAAAATTTTAGAGTGGAGGCCTAGACACGATGCTCATCGTAGTCGAGGACGTCCTCCAACAAGGTGGTCGGACGATTTAAAGCGCATCCAGTCTAACTGGATTCAAGTTGCTCAAGATCGGATGCAATGGAATTATTTACGGGAGGCCTATGTTCAGCAGTGGACGCAAAATGGCTAATGATGATGATGACATAAACTTTATGGCTATTATTCTTTTTGCAGTTACCCTAGCATAATATACCTTTCTTAAAAATTAAAAGATTCCATTACAGTTCTTATTTTTAAATCTGGTAATATTAATGATGTAAAAAATTACAGACCAAGCAGTATTTTAAATTATTTGGCAAAAATATTTGAATCTATTTTATATAACAACTTATTACAACATTTTATCAAATCTTTTAATTAATATCAACATGAATTTCTACCAGATAGGTCAACACTTACAAATTTATGTATTTTCACACAATCTGCTGCAGGTGCCATAAATACTAAGAGGCAAATCGATGCATTCTTCACCGATTGTGCAAAAGCATTTGATACGGTTGATCATTGTTTATTACTAGAAAAACTGGGTACCTTTGGCCTCTCAATTAATGCATTAACATTTTTGAATTCGTACCTAGTAGATAGAAGTCAGCAAGTTAGTGTGGTAATTTTTTCTCAGAGGAATATTCCGTAACTTCTGGAGTTCCTTAGGGCAGCAACCTGGGACCACTCTTATTTACTTGCTTTATAAATGATCTTTCTAGTTGTCTCAAATTTTCCACTTGTTTAATGATTGCAGATGATTTTAAGATGTTTAGAGTTGTAGAAGATCAATGTGATTGCCAACTATTACAACTAGATTTGAATGCGGTATCTAATTCGTTTCCGATAAATAGAATGGATCTAAATGTTGACAAGTGTTCAATGATGACCTTCACAAGTAACAGGAACTTTATTAAAATGGTTGATTATATCAATAATAGATAATTGCCCAGAAAATCCATGTGTAAAGATCTTGGTGTGAATTTTCAGCAAAGCTTGTACTTCAATGATCACTATCACATTGCTACTAATAAGGCTTTTAGGATGTTAGAATTTATAATTAGAAACACCAAACATTTTAAGATGATAGATAGCATAATTAAACTTATAATTCCTTGATATGCACACATCTTGAGTAAGCTTCTGTATTTTGGGCACCCCATGCAGAAGTAAATATAGATTTAATTGAAAAGGTACAAAAAAAGTTTTTAAGATATCTATATGTAAGAAAATATAATTCTTATCCATACTTGGTGTCTTACCGGAGTATGCTTGAAACTTTCAAATTTGTAACACTGGAACAGAGACGGAAAATGTAAGCAATGCTACTTCTATATTATATTGTAAATAACTTAAAATATAAAGACTTATTCTTGATCATCAATCTACGAACGTGGTTCAACACAACAACCTCAAATCTTTTTAGAGCAGCAGTGTGCAAAGTGTAGATTGCCATGATGGTCGCCAACATCCGAAACGGATAGGCACTACAAGAAGAAGATTCTTGATCAACTATATAAAGTTCTTGGTACCTAAGATTAACTTAAGGTTAAGTCATAGAGGGCTGTTTTTTTTTTATTTGTGAGACAGACTTCTCGCCCATAAACAACATATATGACAGCAATATAATACTAAAAACATAGCGACATAGATATCTTCAACACCAACATCAAAGCAATTAAATCTAGCTTTCTATCCGCTTCGATCACTTTATCTTAGCATGTAGGTATATCTAATGTCAAAATCCCTACTTGTATTTATTTATTTATCGTATGGCAATTACAACACATTTAGAACAAAATTACAAACACTAGTAATATAGGTATATGACAAACTTTAAATAGTAGAATACTACACGTGCACCCTGGGTAACGCTAAATGAACTAGCACATACTGGCAGTCAGACAATCCTTAGGATCTCCTGACCAAACAACACTTCCAACGAAAGATCCCTACTTGTAATTATTATATTTTATCCTGTAAAATGAGTTTGTTGTGGAATAAATAAATAAATAATTGTTAAAATGCTCTCCTCCTTTCTTGCTCTTTTAATATATGAAGATAAACCTGTCTGTACTTAAGCAGGATATACTGAAGAACTTATGGGGAAACATAATTAGGGAAACTGACCTCGTATAAGAATAAAGGCAAAGAGAATTAAGAATGAAAGACAAAATATATTAAAAATCGCAAATATTTCTTCGTACACATTAAATACTGCATTTCTTAAAGCATTAACGATTTATAATATTGATAATTGAGATGTGTCTCTTGTTTTATTATTATCATTATTAAACATCTGGTATAATTGATAAAAATTGTTCTCTTCATATTCTGTTCCCTTCCTAGACTAACCGAAGCAGTGACTGTATATTCTTGTTAGTTTCTTCACTTGTAACGAAGAGTTCATCAAGTTTTTTTTCAATCTTTTGTTCAATTATAACATAACACGAGGGATAACAGTGTAGTCAACTTTTGCGTTACCTAATGATCAAAATTTGCCACAAAAATAGCTTATACACAGAATTTTAAAGAAAATGATATAAGAGTGGGTAGTTGTATAGTGACAGGTGAATCTAAAGAATTTGTCAGGAAAATTTCAAAATTAAAAGAAGGTACAATCCGTGTAATATTCGGAAATGTGTCAATATATTTAAACAATGAGAAAACAGCTCAAAGGTAAAAGACTGGAGCAGATTGAAGTAGAAAATTTTTAAATGACCGTGAAAAGCAGTCTAGAAATCCGAAAACTATATACAGGAGAGCGGCAGTTTGCTAATTTCAGTGATGTTATGGCTTGTTATCATAGCTCCAATAATTGTTACTGATAAATAAGTTCATTCGCTTTATCTCCTTTTTCTGTCAACAGAAAGTCAAGCTTTTGTTGCTCCGTGTTCACATTACAGGTTACATTTATCTTTTTAGATTATCTACAATGGTGTTAAAAATTACTGCATCCCCTAAGCGCTTTATAGGTTTTGAGGTTTAACACAAGTTTTTTTTGTATATTTTGACTAATTCATTTTAAGTTTGTGCTTGTAATTAGCCTTATCGGTATACTTACTAATGTTTTTTTTAATTACTAGCTCAAAATTCTACAGAAAAGATTAAAATAATCTGATTGAAGGGATTTCTAACAATCCGAGAAAATTATGAGGTGATTATGAAGTCGTTAAAGTACTATTAAATTGAATCTTAATGACAAATTTGCCACATAGTTTGACTATATACACACTGTAGTTACTCTAACACATTTATTCGCTCTTTGATTTTTGATAAAAAGGTCAAAATGTCAACCAAACAAACTAAATTATCGGATGAAAAGCGTTTTAAAATTATTTTTCACCATAAAAACGACAAAT